GATCCATCAAAGCCAGTCCTGTCTATTCAGACCGCCAGTGGCTCTCCAGGGTCGCAGGTGGAGGTCTTTCACATCACTTCCTGCCTTATCCTCATAACTGAAGATGCCAGAGATTTAGATGGGGACCTTCTGCATGCCACAGCCCCTCCCTTTGCATTGTTTGTTCCTGTGCTTCAGGCACAATCTTTTTCGCCCATTTTCGCATGTGATAGCTAGCAGGAGCTGCTCTTCAGGATACATAGTGAGTCACAGCCAAGATAACTTGGTCTCAAAGACCTGCTGCAGAGGTCAGATAGATATACAACTGAGGGCACCCAGAAGAGGCAAGGCTTCCATACCTGGGGCCACATGTGGTATGGAGATTGCCTCATTTTAACTTGCCACGGAGCGATAAAACAACACAGGACTAACATAGCTATGAGAAGAACTATACAACCCAAGCTCAAATAATATTTTAAGTGCTAGAACTGAGTAATAAAACGAGGGACTGATTTCATTTTGGGGGAATAAAAGGTTTAGTAAAGCTGAGAAGACACATTCGTCTTTCAAGTATGAACTAAGGCAATCATTTTATAATGTGTCTGTCATAAAGACAGGAAAATGAATACCGCCATAATAAATTCACTCCCACATGCAGCCTTACGACTCTGAAAACCTGCAGAACGGATAAAATGCATTCGAATAAACATTGACATTACTGACATCAACAGCTGGATGAGTTCTTGATGGGCAAAATATTATCATTATTTTTTGCTTGAAGTGGTATCCTGTGTTCCAAAGACACAGAATACCACAGTGAAACAGGCACATTTAATGACACAATATCTTATGAAGGATGTTTGAACGTTGGAGTTTGTGCAATCCTGTGGGATGGCAAATCCACAGATGTTTTCTCTGCGCGACTCTGTCGCCATCAAAATTTATTGTGTCTGGCACAGGGAACAGCATCATCTGTTTCCATGTGATGCTCTACAAGTTACATATTTTTTTTAAAAAACAACACTATTTGGAATCACAATCCGCCAAGCCCTGATCCCTTCTCAAGCACCTCTGAATGGAAATATGGCCAAGAAACGAACACTTCTCGGATTATTCCCCCCGCCTACGACATTTGTTAACTCTCGGGTTGAGAAAATCCTCCTGGATGTAGCAGAACCTTATCTGCCTACCAATGGATCTGTTAGGCTTATTCTTTCAGAATTAAAAAAAATATTTTGAATTTTTTATTATGATATAGGGGAAAAAAAGGAATAGGAAAAAAACCCCAGAGGAAATATAATTACCAAAAACATAATGTGAGGGCAATTTTACAGATATTGAGAACAATCCTTTTTCAGAATATATATGTCTATATGGAAACGTGTATTGTATAATAGCTTAACAAATTCTTTCTTATTCTGCGATTAAATGCAAAATGGACTACTTGGGGGCAATGCTCCCTCTAAGCTGTGGAGTCTTGTGAGCAAAAATTCTACTTTCTGAGTTACTGGCCATTAAAGTTGTGAGCAAGCAATTTAGCTGCTGCATGAATTAGTTTGCTCTGGAGCCCTCCTTCCTGAGCTAGGACAAAAATGTGCGAGCCGGAGGCTAAAAAACTGTGAGTTAGCTCACACTAACTCAGCTTAGAGGGCACACTGCTTGGGGGTGCTAACCAATGAACCAATACTTAACCCTTTTCACTGATTGTTAAGCCTACCTGGAGTGTTCTTTGAACACGAATGGTGGGCACATGGATTGACAAGCAAATACTGAACACCAAACAGTGAACTCTGGTCCTTGCAGAAATTTCTTTAAAACTGCTCCCTTGCCAATCTGTTTTCTTCTGGGTTGAGAAAATTCTCAGCCATAACTTTCACACCTCAAGGCTTCTGCATGTTCTTCCTATGAATACAGCAAGATGTTCATGTGCCCACTAACGGGACATCTTATCCTTATAAATTTATTACTAGGCAATATAGAGTCTGCAATCCTGGGAGTAAGTCCGATGGAATAAAATTGGACTTACTTCTGAATAGACCAGTTTAGGATTGATCTCTCAATGCTAAAAAACCCCCCCCAAACCACACACAAATTCTGATGGAGGGATTAAAGACTTTGGGGGGCGTTAAAACTGCAAATTTTATTAATTAATTAAAATATTTATATCCCACTTTTCCTTGTGGTTCAGTGTGACTTACAATAATAGTAAAATGTACTTTCAATTAAAAACAAAAAAATAAAACAGCAGAGCCCAAATCTCTCAAGAAGAAGAAGAAGAAGAAGAAGAAGAAGAAGAAGAAGAAGAAGAAGAAGAAGAAGAAGAAGAAGAAGAAGAAGAAGAAGAAGAGATTGGATTTATACCCCGCCCTTCACTTGGAGTCTCAGAGCGGCTTACAAACTCCTTTCCCTTCCCCTCCCCCCAACAGACACCCTGTGAGGTGGGTGGGGCTGAGAGAACTCTGACACAAACTGCTCTTTTTCAAGGACAGCTGTGCCAGAGCTTGTGACTGACCCAAGGTCACATCAGCAGGTGCAAGTGGAGGAGTGGGGAATCAAACCTGGTTCTCCCAGATTAGAGTCCGCACACTTAACCACTACACCAAACTGGCTCTCCCAGATAAAAGATGTCTGCCCTGGAAAACAGGAAGGCTTACACTGCCTCCTGAAGATCTCCGGGGAAGGGCCTCCCCTTCACCTCTTGCGGGAGCTCCTTCCACTGTGCTGGAGCCACAGTGGAAAATTCCTGGGTTCTGGTTGATGCCAGACGGGCCACCCTAAGTGGTGGGATACCCAACAGACGGCTGCCTGACGACTGTCGTCAGCACACGGTGAGGTTCCTTTCTTTGCATTGGTTCCTATTTGACCACTTTTGCCATTATGGCAGTGTGGCAGTGCGACATTGAGAGCCCTGACGTCATCAGCCAGCCGACAGAATACATGCCGTCGGGACATGACTGATACAGCCTGCAGATGGATCCTCCGACCAGCTACAATGTGTGTGTGATTAAATATTGTATGTTGTCTTCCCTATCCCCCACGAATACATTGTTAGTCCATTGTCTCTGAGTAACTGTAAATCGCTCTGAGCCCGCATGAGTGGGAAAAAGCGATCAATAAATTGAAAGTATTATTATTATTTAATTTTCAAACCTAATCCCAGAACAATGGAGGACTAGATATTCTCACGGAAACCAAAATCCTCATTATTGTCCCCAGGGCTTTTTTTGTAGATAAAGCCCAGCAGGAACTCATTAGCATAATAGGCCACACCCAACAGCAGAAACTCATTAGCATATTTGGCCACACCCATGACAGCACATCTCATTGGCATATTAGGCCACACCCCCATATTACCAGAAGTGTGCTCATCCAGCCACACCCACCTTTTGCTTCTTATTCTGCTTACCTTGTTTGTTGTCCAAACCCAGGGCCTTTTTTTGTAGCAGGGACTCCTTTGCATGTTAGGCCACACACCCCTAATGTAGCCAGTCCTACTGAGTCTCTGCTGTTGGGTGTGGCCTATTATGCTAATGAGTTCCTGCTGGGCGTGGCCAACTTGGAAGCCAGTCGGAACTCCGTTCCTGTGCGTTCCTGCTCAAAGATAGCTCTGATTGTCCCGTGCCCCTGTGGCTCACGTGGCATTTGCTGAGGGGAAGGAGAGAAGAACGTGTAGAGCACTTGGCCGCATCCTGCCTTTCCTTGCTCTAACAAACTGCATAAGGTGTTGGGGGGGGGGTCTTCAACTGGGGCTCCCGATTCTCTGTGACATCTTGCGGGCAAAGGACACTGCTGGCTAGATCTCAACTGTACCACCATCACCCCTGCAGGTGGCTAGGAGTCCAACAGGAACCAAAGGACTCGAAAGCAAAGCATCTGCTCTGCATGCGGAAGGTCCCATAATTCAATCCCTGGGACCTCCGGTTTGAAGGATCGGGCAGCAGGTGATGTGAAAGGCCTCTACCCAAGACCCTGGAGAACTGCTGCCAGTCAGAGGAGACAAAACTCTGACCTCGGTAGACCAATGGTCTGGTTTAGTATGAGCAGGGCTCTTTTTGCAGAAAAATCCCAGCAGGAAATCATTAGCATAATAGGCCACACCCAATAGCAGAAACTCATTAGCATATTAGGCCACACCCCTGACAGCACCACTCATTAGCATATTAGGCCACACCCCACATGTTACCAGAAGTGTGGTCACCCAGCCACACCCACCTTTTGCTTCTTATTCTGTTTACCTTGTTTGTTGTCAAAACCCTGGGCCTTTTTTTGTAGTAGGAACTCCTTTGCATGTTAGGCCACACACCCCTAATGTAGCCAATCCTAATGAGTTTCTGTTGTTGGGTGTGGCCTATTATGCTAATGAGTTCCTGCTGGGCGTGGCCAACTCGGGAGCCAGCCGGAACTCCGTTCCTGTGTGTTCCTGCCCAAAAATAGCCCTGAGTATGAGGCAACCTCGTGTGTGTTTGGGTGTCATGGCCTACGTCGACGCCAGATGACAGAAAGGAGCCAAAAGGGTCCAAATATAAGACTGCTTCTTAATTCTTGCCTGGCTCCTCTGTCTGAACAAAATTTCTCTTCGGTACAGACCAATGCTCCCTCTAAGCTGTGGAGTCTTGTGAGCAAAAGTTCTACTCTGTGAGCGACTGGCATTAAAGTTGTGAGCAAGCGATTTGGCTGCTGCCATCGATTACTTTGCTCTGCGGCCGTCCTTCCTGAGCTAAGACAAAAATGTGTGAGTCGGAGGCTAAAAAACTGTGAGCTTAGCTCACACTAAGTCAGTTTAGCGGGAACACTGGTACAGACCCAGCTTGCTAATCCATGCGCTCGTCCGCCCACCTATCTGCCAGCTACTTGCTCCCAAAGCGCCAGCGCCAGCTCCACCTTGACTTTGCTCTTTTATCCTCCCTGTTTTTGGAATGCAAGCTTGCAAAAATGCTTATCAGATGTTTCCAGCTTTGAGAAGATGACACCTGAATGGCAATCGGGGAACATCACAAAAGGGGCGATTGATGGCTGCATACCATTGCTGTAATTGTAGGAGATCCACTGCCCGCTCCTGGGTTTTGGAAGCGACACTGGTGTTTCATCGGCCGGGAAACTGGAGAACTTGCACTCCACAAAGAGCCGCTGTATCGTGCTATCCGCTGTGATCGGGGATTCTGTGAGACTGAGGGATATGATTTCAATCCGGATTTTTTCAGCAGTCTGTTGAAATAAATAATATTTTTTTAAAAAACAACAACACAACACCCGAAAATGCAATCAAGACACAGAATGTACTTCTTGTAAGGCCAAAGGGTCACATCAAGTATGTAAATCAGCAAGGAGATTTTGACGATAAAACATGACTGATGGGTTAGGGTGGAGTGGCGATACCCTGGGGCTTGTAGTTATCATGGGCATTGCAATATATTATTGGTTTACATTTTATGCTGGGGTGGTGGTGGTGGTGGTGGTGGTGGTAATGGTCCCAGTCCTGCTGAGACCCTTTCAACTGGAAATACCTATGGTTCTACTGTAGTCAGGCAGGTGTGAATTGGCTGCCTGGCAACTGTGGCTCTGTGGTGGAGCATCTGCTTGGCATGCAGAAGGGATCAGGTTCAATCCCTGGAATCTCCAGTTTAAAGAGTTCAGGCGCTAGGTGATGTGAAAGACCTCAACCCTGGAGAACCGCTAGGGTTGCCAAGTATATCTTCGCCGGGAGCGGGGGGCTCCTGGCCAGCGTCTTGTGCGCACGCACGTCACCCGGAAGTGACGTGGGCACGCCAGGCACGCTGTGGGCGGGGCCACGGCCATACAAGGGAAAACCATAGAGTTTTCCCTTGTATGGCTGTGGCCCCGCCCCCAGAGTGCCCGGCATGCCCGTGTCACTTCCGGGTGACGCACACGTCAGGGTGGAGTTCCCCCAAGGGCCCGATCCGGCGGCGCCGGGGAACGGGCCTCTGGGGCGGGGGTTTCCCCGCCCCCCGGGGGGACTTGGGATCCCTAAGAACCGCTGCCCGTATGAGTAGACAATAATGTCCTGGATGGACCCAGGGTCTGATTCAGTATAAAGCACCTGCATGTGTTCAGTATTGCTCTTTTACGAGACGGTTCTGTTAATTATGTATCCACACTGTCCATTTTTTAAAGAAGGAAATTTTACATACTTAAGACACACAAAGACACACACACACACACACACTTTGCTACCTAACATCACCACTGCTGACTCTACTAATCAGTAACACTTACCCCAATTTAAGAAATCTATTTTGGTTCAATTTTGAGTCCTTTGGGAGTTGCACAACTGTTTTGTTTTTAAGCAGATCTCATCCCCTGTCATAAATTCAAATACAATTATCACTGATTTTGAAGGGGACAAAGGTAGGATATAAAACCACTGGTTTTATGTCAGGAATGCAGTCCAGTGTGGCTTTCCTCTCTGATAGTCACTGTGTGGTCTTGGGACTGCATCTGTGTACACACCAGAGCGTGACGTGGGAGCATGTGTCTCCAAAGACAGCATGTACTTGCAACCAATAATGGCTCTTGGGAGGAGGAGACTGGATTTATACCCCGCCCTTCATTCAGAGTCTCAGAGCAGCTTACAAACTCCTTCCCCTTCCCCTCCCCACAACAGACACCCTGGGAGGTAGGCGGGGCTGAGAGAGCTCTGACAGAAACTGCTCTTTTCAAGAACAGCTCTGACAGAACTATGGCTTGCCCTAGGTCATCCAGCAGTTGCGAGGGGGGGGAGTGGGGAATCAAACCCGGATCTCCCAGATTAGTCTGCACACCTAACCACTACACCAAACTGGGAGAGAGCCCACCATACATCTCAAAGCTCAAATTCCAGGATACTTTCAGTGCCATGTGAAGTGGCTGGGAACACCAAGTTTTCCACAAGGTAGTAAATACTCAGTTAACTATATGTGTCTACATTTATAAGACTGTCTGTAAGGCTACAGGGGAAAGTCGCTCCATGGCGACTTTTTCCAAGTCAAAAAAAATGGACGTGTGAATTGAGCCATACTTATGCATATGCATGTTTTAAATCTGAAATGCGCTATACCTTGCTTGGAAGGGTTTTCATGTCAAATATTAACAGGGTAGAGCACAAAAACTCTCCTGAATAAGTCAGTGGTTTCAAAGAACGCGTAACCACTGTGATTTCAAAATTAGACTACACAGAAGAACACTCTTCAAAGAGCAAACCAAGCACCTTGTAGATCTCAACTGTCAAGTTCTTCTTAACTTTTCTCTTTATGGTTTCCCCTCTACATTAAAGACTATTTCAACCGCATGGAATTTGAAAGCGTCTGGTTGTAAATTCAAATCAGCAACCTTGCCATAATAATTACAGAATTAAAACAACAAAAAAGAGAAGATTGGCGTTGCTGTACCAAAAAGGGAGATCGGCTTGGCTGTTTAAACTGTAAATCAACACAATAACCCATGCGACACAACAATTGTTGATATGTTTTCAAAAGTATATTCTATAATTAATCAATTGAAAAGCTGTACTTATATACACACACACATATCCTTCATAAGAACAATATTCATTCTTGTCAACCCCCCTTCAATATTTGATGAAGTAATTTTACCCCCTCCTTCCTTTCAAAAGACATTTCCTTTTATTATGTATCCTAAGACACTTTAACTAAAAACCCAAATCTGAATATTTCAATAAGGTTGTTTTATTATTCAGTAGATTCATGGAAATTTTACTAGGACGACAGAGAAAATTCCACACCATTCTGTCTCCGCTAATACAGGTACACGGCTTCAGCTGGCGATATTACTAGGATTAGCATAGCATGATGAAATATTTAAAGGAATTTTTTTTTTCTAAAAACCTAATAAATCAAATGACTGCCAAATGTCATTAAAGTGATAGTCTTTGACTTGAATATGCTTTTCATATTCAAATTTGAAAAGAAAGAGATGAAAGCCTTGAAAGGTTACTCAGTTTCAACTAATAACCTCAAGCACTCTACATTCACATGCATAAAAAATGAAATGGCCTCTATTGTCTAATTTTACCTCAGAAACAACTCCTTTCTCCTTCCATTGTACAGATATATTAGGAGTATTTTTAAGTGATATTCGGAGTCATTCCCCTCCAAATGTTTAACCGCGCTGTCAAGAACCCGCTCGTACCTAAGACGGCGGTTTACAAATGAAGTCCAAATGTGAGGCATAGACGTAGAGAGAGGCCTTCTTGATATTTGACAGAGGAAAACAGAGACACTTGTTTTATGTTAGAGCAGAAAAAAGGGGCTCGTGGGATAGCAGTGGGCAAGGCAGACGAACAAACGGATTCCATGGGGTCTGACGGCCTGACCCGGACCAGGATGTGTATGAGAAAAGTTTGGCTGGGATCCAAAGACACCGCTGTTAGTGCGTTCCCCCTGTGGAGTGCTGAAGGATACTTCTTGTAAAGGTAAAGGTTCCCTTGCTCGAAAGCCAGTCGAGTCCGACTCTAGGGTTGCGGTGCTCATCGCCGTTTCAAAGCCGAAGAGCCAGTGCTGTCCGAAGACGTTTCCGTGGTCATGTGGCCGGCATGACTAAACACCGAGGCGCACGGAACGCTGTGACCTTCCCACCGAAGTGGTACCTATTTATCTACTTGCAATTTCTTGCTTTCAAACTGCTAGGTTGGCAGGAGCTGGAACTAGAGATGGGAGCTCACTCCATCATGCGGCACCCGGGTCTCGAACTGCTGAACTACCGACCTTCCACATCCTGCAGTTCAGCATCTTAACCACTTGAGCCGAACTAGAGACGGGAGCTCACTCCGTCATGCGGCAACTCGGGTCTTGAACCGCTGAACTACTGACCTTCCACAGCCTGCAGTTCAACTGATGCCTGTGGTCAGAAGCGTACTCAGAAGTCCTGCTGTGTGCACACTGTCACAGCCCTTCCGAACAGCCCGCTCCCACAAAATGTACATTTAACAACCGACGTGTTTATGTGGACAAAAGCCCAGCTTGTTTTCCATGCTCTCTCTGGTGCGGCTGATCTCCCGAGGCAGTAGGAGAGACTGTGTCGCCAGAGGACATTACAGAGCCTGGATGGTGATCCTGCCGTTTCTCTGACCGAGTGTTATGTACGTGCATGAGGGGATGAGATAGCAGAAAAGACACCCTCCTCGCTCAGGGCGTGAA